GGGAGCCCGAGCCACCGCGCACCCGGGTGATCCTGACTGCGCGTGCGCCCGCCGCGCTCGTGGGGCGGGGGCGCCGCCGCGGCGCTGCTGGAAACTCGCGCAGCCCAGCCGGGGGGAGTCCGCCCGACCTGCCCGCCTTCCTGAGCTCCTTGCAGCAGCAGACTCCCCTGGCCTTTTCTGGGCAGTCAGAAAGAGCGGTGGAAACCGCCGTGATGTGAGGGCAGCGCCCCTGCCCGGGAGCCTCCTCAGCCCCTGTGGCGCCTGCATCCCCTTGCAGGTCTTTGAAAACCAACCTGCTCTTTTTTCCCACTTCCAGAGATCAGCGGTGCGCACGTCTGACCCCCGCCTTGCCCTTCCCCTGCCCGAGATCTGACAGCTGAGCTGCCGCAGGGGAAGCAAGGGAGCCATGGCCGCCCATACTTACCTGGCAGGGGAAATATCGTGACCGCTAAGGTGGCTTTCCTAAACCACTTTCTTGGCAGGGGGTAATAGTGAGGCATAGTTAGCCTCCTACTTTCACTTCCAGTGGGAAGATCTTGGCTATACGGGGGCTTTATGGAAATGGGAGACTTCTCCTTAGCTTGCTTCTGCAGCCATATGGCTGAGGGCAAGCAAACCCTAAGCGGCTTGAGGCTGCAAGTAGGATGCCCGCCAAAGGATTTGGAAGCATCTGAAGCCCCAGGTTGGGGTGGAGGATGCTTGCTGGTAGCAGGACCACGTATGGTTCTAGAAAGACTCGGATTTGGAATTGATTCGATTTGGGACAGGAAAAAATTTCCTTAAAAATATATATAGATATATCTATCTATCTGCTGCTTCAATAAAAGGTTGCTATTACTGGCTTAAGATATTGGAGATAGAGTGCCATAGCCTCTGCTGCAGAGGGAGGTAGACCCCACCCCCCCACGGTCCACATCTATCTGACTGTGGGGGAAAATTCCTTCCTGACCCCCCAAGGATCGGTCTGACCCTAAGGGGAAGGGCAAGACCCTCTAGCCAGAGCTCTCTGTCTTTAAGTCCTGGCAGGAGCATTGGTACACCCTAGTCAAAATCCCCAGCCTTGGCTGCAGCCAACCCCCTCTGAGAGAGGCTTCACTCCTGACTTTATTCTCTTTGTTTCTTAATTGACCTTTCCTGCGGTTAGAATGCCATTGTGTCTGGCACGCTGCTTTGCCTTTCCATGCTCTCTAAATTAGATCTTTAGTCCTGGGTCTGGCCCTGTATCAGTTTAGTCTCCTCACTAATGTGCATGGTGACTTACCAGGTCCTGTCCAGAGCCAATATGATGAAAAGCTACAGTTGCTGATGCAGAGATCTTAATTTTGCCTTGTTTTTGTCAGTAGTTTTTTGTAAATCTCACCTCCAGGATCAATTAATCTTACATACAATATTTAAATGCCCACGTGTCCCCTGAAAATTGCTCAAATAGGTATAAAACCATACAATTTATTGGATTTAAGCAAAGAAACAGAAACCATGGTTAGTTTATTTTGTGGCAAATATGAGTACACAAATTTATCAACTTGACAAGGGGCATGTCTACACGTGGCTATTAATGCACAGCAATAAGATCTGGAGCTTATCGCTCCAGGGCTTATTGCTGCCAGCCACACATCAGAATGTGTACCCAGGATCACAGCATGTTGAGTTGGGGTGGAGCAGCCCTGGCTAGCCGGGAGTTCTGGGGGTCAGTCTGCTAGCTCAGGGCTGCTCCCCACAGCTTGGCATGCTGTGGAAGGGCTGACTTGGGCATGAGGATACTTC